TCCCTAACATCTCAAACCAAGCCAATAGAAAGTGTCTGCCTGTAGACCCCACCCCACCCCAAAATGTTTATAAGATCCTATCCACAAGGAATAAAGTGCATGAGGTATTTCACCAAAGACCATCTGAAAGTGCCTAAAGGAAAGAGTGTTCTCTCCTGAAGCTTTTATCATTGAGAGCTGTTCAAGCCTACCCACAACCACTTCCTGCTCAGTGGCCTGGACCTTGGCTCCTAGCCACCTGCTGTGTCCCACTGCCTGCCACCAACTCCAGGACAGTGGCTGCCATGGAAGAGGCCTGGCAAAGAACTGTAACCTTTTGGCCTCTCTGGCTGAGCCAAAGCCGCACAGATTCCTGTGAATAGCACCCAGTGCACAGATCAGCAGAGAGAGGCGACTCTACAGTGCTGAAGATGTCACTGGTTTTATGTAAAGTAAAACTTCTTTGAGTTCATCAATTGTTAATTTTGAATGTGAACTATACACTCACTGGTATGTTCTACCCCAAGTCACAGACCAAAAGGTTTTGTGGGCTATGCTGTGGGATTGACCTGTATGCTGGTTAGTTTTTGTCCGCTTGACACTAGCTATGTTCTTTAGGTAAGAGGGGAATTAAGTTGAGAAAAATGCCTTCATCAGATTGTAGAAAAGTCCATAGGGCAATTCTTTTATTATTAGCAGTAGTAGAGGTGGAAAGGTCCCACCCACTGTGGGTGGTGCCATCCCTGTGCAAAGGGTCCTGGTTGTATGAAAAAGCTGAGCAAGCTGTGTAGAGCAAGTCAGTAAGCAGTGTTCCAAGGTCTCTGATTCAGTTCCTGTCTCCAGGTTCCTGCTTTGACTTCCTGCCCTGACTTACCTTCATGGTGGACTGTAAGCTGTAAGACTTAAGCATTTTCCTCCCCAAGTTCCTTTTGGTCATAATCTATATCATAACAACAGAAAGCAAACCAGGACAGTCTATTTCTATAACTTGAAAAGATGTTTGATTGATGTCCCACATCCAAGCTTACCAAGTCTTCACTTGACTAATAATATATCTAAAGTGAAGTATGCTAACACCCTCGCACTAGTGGACTCAGTTCTGAGCTGTGCTAGTTTAAATGAGATGACCCCACGAGTCTTTGGCATTTGAATACTTGGTCCCCAGTTGGTGGCTGTTTGGCAAAGAATTAGGAGGTTTGGCCTTGTTGGAGGAAGTGTGTCACTGCCATGGCTTAAGGTTTCAAAAGCCTGTACCATTTTTCAGTGTGCTTTCTTCTTACTGTTTGTGGATCAGATTTCGAACTCTCAGCCACTGCTCCCGCATGATGCCTATCCCCTTCCTGCTCCCCATCATCATGGTGATGGACTCCTGCTCCTCTGGAAGTGGAAGCCCTAAATAACCCCTTTCTTCTGTAAGTTGCCTTGGTGTTTTATCACAGTAATAAAAAAGTAACTAATACACAGGCTTTCCACAGCAAAGATATATACCCAATTAATTACACTAAACCTTAGGGATCTGTCCTCAGGGGATACCCTCAGAGTACAGTAGTCACCTAATAGAGCTGTGTTAGTGTCCTAGGCCTTCAGTTCCTCCTCACATCCTGAAACCAACAGAGGATAGTTCCATCATCAATATGATTCAGTGACGACCTAGCATAGCAAAGCCTTCGCTCCAGAATGCTAAGTTTGCCAGACCACATGGGATTATAAAAGCAAATGCGTATAGTGCATAATATTATGTCACATCACCGGGCACATTTTTTGAAAAGGCAACACCCACAGGTCTGAACAACTTTGGTTTTCTACAAATTCTGCAAGCACTGAGTCGTGCTTACATGTCGCTGTTTTTTTGTTGTTGTTGTATTAGCACAGCGTCCTGGGAGGAGTCTGTCTCTCTTGGCTTTGCAGTTATTAGCGTCTTACCTTTGTAAACATTCTTCCCGCTTGCGAAAGGGTTTGTAGCTCTCCACAAGAGTCCTCGGTGCACGTTCTTCTTTTGTGACTGGCAGAGAGGAGCTTCTGTGAGAACAATGATGTAACTCAATCCTCCTTGGGAATTCAATATTCGGTACCATTGATGCCCAGCCCTGCACGCTTTTTATAATCATAGCCATCATCTTTTTATTATGTCTTGGACTTGAGGAGGCCTGAAAGCAGATGTAACTCATGATGACCTGACTTCAATGGGAGAATGAACCAGGTGGCTAATTGTCTCTAAAACAAATACACTGATAATTAGCAGGAGAGCACAATGCAACAGAAGCCTAACCACCAACCTTTATTTAAGTTAAGCAAATGGTGAGCAAACGATGCAGCTGCATCACCACTTTGACAAGTTAATAAGGGAGCCATACTTCATCTCAGCTGCCTCCCCAGCCAAAGCATGCCCTCAGGACTGGCATCAGCGGCACTGAAAGCCATCCATGCTCACAGTGAAAGCCTCTGCTCTGAGGACTTTACAGATCCAGAGTTTAAGGAAAGCTGGGGTCAAGGCCAAGACAATAGAAAGTTGATAATGTCTTGCCCATAGACACTGGTAATTGCAGCTAAGCCGCTAATTTCGTGACATTGGTGCAAACTTAATTTTTCTAGAGTTTAGTATTTTTCAGACTGAATTGATTCATATCTAGTTAGGAGTTCGGAAAACACTTTCTGGAAAAGCTCAACCTAAATGTTTTAGGCTTTGAAATCTCTATGGGCTCAGTTGCTAGAACCTACTCTGCCATTTTAGTGCAAAAGACAAAATGTAAAAACATGACCGTATTCCAATAAAACTTGATATATGGACATTGAAATGAAACCACATATAGTTTTTACATATCAAAAATATTCCTCATCTTTTGGTATCTTTTCAAGCATTTATAAATATGAGAACAGTTTTTCACTTACAGGCCGTACAAAAGTCAGGTTGAATTTGATCTGCCTCAAGTCTGAGGTTAATCAACTGTGCTTGAGTCAAAGAAATAATGTTAGTTTCCCTCTTGTTTCTTGCTGATCTGTTCCTTAGCTAGACATTGGATTTCACTTCAAAGAGCTAGAACCACAGCTACAGGAGAAATATATTCACAATATTTGGCTTGGTAAATGCCTAATGACATTCTGCTGTGCAAGTCATAGGTCTAGAAAGGCCAAGACTCTCAAAGGAGTTTGAACTTGGAATTCCAGCAAATCAGCGTGGGTTTAGACTGAGAGACCTTGCCTTGGGTGAATCATCAGTGGATACTCTGTTATATGTGTTCTTTTTAACATTATTCATAATTGCCAAGTTATGGGATCTGATGTCCATCAACAGAAGCGAAGATAGAGAGATTAAGGTACATGGTGGAATATAATTGAATGAATCATGTTGTCTTCAGGAAAAAGCACAGAACTAGAGATTACTATATTAAGCAAGTTAAGCCAGACTCAGAAAGAAAATATTACATATTTTCTTCATAAATATAATTTACATTTTAACTATACACACATGACATGAAGGGGAGAGGGTTTGGGAAGAGGAAGGGTACCAATCGGGGGAGGTGGGTAGGAACATCAGAGGGCAACAGGGAAGACATGATTAAAGTATACAATGAAAAAGTATGAAAATATAATAAAAGTCATTATTTTTGTACAATGAATAGATCCTAATTTAAAAGGGGTGGTTATGGCAATATTATTTACTGCATCAAAGATATTAATACATCTAATAATAGTGATGTCCAAGTGACACCGTCAGTGTTCAAATTTTGATGGTCATATTTTATAAACTATTACATAATAAATAAAATGATGCAGAAGACTATATATTATCATGGAAGGATATCAGATGGGTAGGATGGCAAGCAATACTAGAACAATAGAGACAACATGACTTTTTTAAAAATAATTTCAAGAAATATCTAAAATAGCTTAGACATTACTCATCAAGGTAGGCTTATGAGTATATCTTCATTTTGAATTCTTTTGTACTACTGTCTTAGTTAGGGTTTCCATTGCTGTGAAGGGACACCATGACCAATGCAACTCTTATAAAGGAAAACATTTAATTGGGGCTGGCTTACCAGTTCTAAGGGTCAACCCATTATCATCATAGCAAGAAGCATGGTAGCATGCAGGAAAACATAGTTCTGGAGAAGGAACTGAGAGTTCTGCATCTTGATTTGAAGGTAATCAGGAAAGACTGGCTTCTGCCCTGGGCAGAGCTTAACCATTGGACCTCAGAGCCCATCCCCATAGTGACTCACTTCCTCCAACAAGGCTATACCTCCTAATAGCACTCTCAGTGGGCCAAGCATTCAAACACATGAGTCTATGGGAGCCAATCCTATTCAAACCACTACAACTACATTCTAGAATTCATTCACTCAACACATACTTACTAAGCAATTAGTATATCTCAGGATATTTTTTTATAGTGGAAATGTTATATTTTGTCATCTTTTATAGACAAGACCCTCAAGATGAGAGCCAGAGAGAATGAGCCAGGGAATCTGGGACTGGGGCCCCATTTAAAGTCACGTGGGTAGCAACTGATATCAGTATTTCACATAGCTCTGCCATCTCTCCACCTCGGTCTCAACACTAGCCTTCATCACTCTCTCACAACCCTACTAAGGGGCCAAAGGATAAGACACTAAAACCTTGTGAAGATCTAGCTTAGTAACCCAGGCCTGTAACGCCACATTCTAAAGAGGAAGAAAAAAATCAGAGTGATGTAGAGAGACTTTATTTAATATGAGAATTTTAAAAAATTAATGACAGATTCATCTCATCTTTAACTCTCATAGAGCTTAAACCATGCACTACATTGTTTGAGCAAATTCAGAGAGATCTTATCGAGCAGAGAATATTTTGTATTTTCAAGCATTTATAACACTGTATCAGAATGATGTTGACAAAGAACCAGAAAGCAGACAGTGCCATGGTTTTGAGGTGGGTGATGTGTACAAAGGCTGAGCCATCTTCAGGTGTGCTGGCTGCTTCTACTGCTTTTGAGGTTATAGATCCCCAGTGAGGTTCAAACAAACATATTAAATAACAGAAATTTGAACATGATTTTTGGAGATATTCACCTAACATCCCAAGACTACATGTATCTCAGCTAAGAGATCTATACTTAATGAACAAATGATTTGGCTAGTGCCTAACAGGTAAGGCTGATGTTGAGCAGTTGCCCTTGGTGAGTCTTTGTGTGAGTTCAACTTGATGTGGCTTTACCTACACAGACACCTCCCCAAAAGCACTTCTGTGAAGGAAGCAACGGCAGCTTTAATGATGGAGAGGAATCCGAGCCCAAGAGAACCTGGGAACGGATTCCACACCGGTCTCTTTTGCTTCCTCTCCCTTATCTATTGAGCCTATTTCATTTCCTGCCTCTGTTTTTTTCCCCATTGATATTGGACAATTCTCTCCCAAATGCCTAAAATAATAGTTCAGTCGTGTAGCTGGCTGACGATCCATCATACAATCAAAACCATGCTGGCCAGATATGGGCAACTGCTTCTCAGCCTTTGCTGGTCCATCTGTCACTCTCCATACATCAGTTGGGAAAGTATTTGGTGATCAGAGACTATCTAGAAAGCTGGAGCACATGTGTACATGAACACACACACACACACACACACACACACATACATACACACATATACACTGTATGGAATTATATGGGGGTGTATATTTATCTAGAACATAAGCCAATATTTTTCAACAACAATTTTACCTCTGTTTGTAACACCATTTGCAGTTGTCTTAATTTCAAAATAAACTATTCCTTCCCCCAAACAAGAGACACACTGAAATGTTACATAACTCCCGTTTTTCAAAAGACCCTTATTTGTACCCCAGAGAGACCCAAGCTGGGGCTAACATTCACACAAGCCTTTACAAATACTCAAAGGCACAGCAATATTTGAAACAAAAGGAAAACCTAAAGACAGTTGTTTTAGTCCTTAATATAATGCTTAATTTTTCACATTAATATGAGAAAATTCCCCAGGGGCTAGTTACAGGCTTGCATTGCTATTTTTATTTTATCAATAATAATTATGTATTTTTTTATTGGATGCTTCTTTTCCAGGGAACCCAAAGTGTATGCAAATCCTTTATTTTTTCCCTTATGCCATCTTTGAGGCATAGCCAAGAGGCAGATCATTTTATCACAATCAAAAAAGATAGAAATTAGTAGAGATGCCAGCACAGAGAATGGAAACTGGTCCTGGATTTGGTGCAAGATTTTACTACTGCCCTTCCTGAAACACCCGTCTCTCCAACCATTGCCTCCCTGGCAGAGCCTTTTGAAAGGTTTGTTTAGTTAAAACTTTTCACTGCCTGGGCTGTAGCTTATGAAAGCTTGGTTGACCTGTCTCTCCAACCTTCTCTTTTACCACTTTTTTCACTTAATATTCTGTACTGATATCAGATGCCTAGGAGTTGGGTACTCTAGAATCATCCCCATGTGAGGGCCATGTGCTATGATGGTCCCAAGGAGACGAGCAGGTGTGTGAGCAAGTGGGACTGGGAAGGAAGGGACCAAGCCAGGAAGGGGGAAATCAAATCGATTATATCATCTTCTATCTAATTTCAAAGGTGACCTCTGCAGAGATGCCCTTATGAAGGACACAGATCATTGGTAAGGGCTGGAATGTACATTCTCAGAACTTCTGGCTGTAAGTGAAGTCTGCCATCTTGAAGGCAGATGTCCAACTAAGAAATGCTGAAAGGGAGAAGACACCAGCAAGCAACGTGTGGGGATGGAGCCGGCAGTGACAGTGTACGCCACCGTGGGCATTCTGTTCCTAAAACACTCCGTTAGGAAGTCTTGTGTCTTCAGCTAGATCTCTTCTCTTCTGGAAGTGTCTTCTTCATCCTCTGCTGAGGATATGTCACTGCCTCAAAGCAGTCCCCTTAATTTCCAATTCTCTGTTCCCCATAAATGAGGCATCTGTATATAGGAGTTCTTCATCCGACATTTCCAGTGCACCACTAAGTCCATAGCTCTTCTCAGTCATCCTTTACTGGTTTCCTGCCCACTCTGAAGTGGAATTTCAGGGATGTTGCCCTCCTGGATCCTGAGTTCACACACTGACTTCAATACTGAGAATGCACTCATTCAGCCAGGTCCTCTTGAGGAGGTGATAACTAAGACACAACCTTTCTTTTCAAAAAAAGAAAAAAAGAAAGAAAGAAAGAAAGAAAGAAAGAAAGAAAGAAAGAGAGAAAGAAAGAAAGAAAGAAAGAAAGAAAGAAAGAAAGAAAGAAAGAAAATTCAAGCACTCTATTATCATGGACAGCAAACACAATTAGTTAAATTGTGTTTATATACAGGGGTTGTGATGGGCACATACTTGTAAACAGATGTAGGAAGTTTACAAGTTCATTGTCAGCCAAGGCTCTATAACAAGAACATTCTCAAAGAAAAAGAAAAACCCTTAAAATAATAGAAAAATATTCTTTGATGAAAACTCTAAAATTCCTAAGAATATATTTATAAACAAAGGGCTAAAATGATTGGAGTATCATCAAAACAAATAAGTTAAATAGGAAACCTTCTCTAGGCACTAGAGAAATGACTCCATTGGTAAAGTACTAGTCTAAAGCATGTGAACCTGAGTTTCATCCCCAAGAGCCTACGTTAAAAATCTCTGCCATGAGCACTTTTGTAATCCCAACACTGGGGAAATAGACATGGGTGGCTCCCTGGAGCGAGCTGGCCATCCAACCTAGCCTACTTGGTGAGCTCCAAGCCAATGAGAGACACTGTCTGAAAACACAAGATGGCTTGTTCTTGAGACACCTACACACACACACACACACACACACACCACGTGCGCATGTGCATATACACACAAAAATAGAAGTTTGTCTATATGGAGTGGAAAAGTCAACAAATGCTAAAAATGAGAAAACTAAAAAAGGATTTGGGGTGGGATGTTGCTATTTTAGTAAACCAGATTGTTTCTAAATTAGGTACGGGAACTTCTTTCACACATGGTGTTTATTTTTACATTGCTCACCCCCTTAAAAATAAGGTGTTTAGCATGTGAGCAGAGCTTACTTGAGCTTCCTGTGGTAGATGGATACAGAGACCCAAACTCTCCCTCCTGTAGCCAATAGGAGTTTTCGGTGCCCCGTGTCCGTCCCACACCCTTGAATCTGGGTTCTGTTGCCAGTGGAATGGCACCACCACAGTGGTGTTCCAGTTTAGACCCAAGGTTTCAAGAGTCCTTCAACGTTCCTACTTCAGTTCAATGGAACACCGCCACTGGCCTGCAATCCAGTCAGAACTGATGTGCTAGAAGGAGAGTCACGATGCGTGGAGCTAAGCTGATTTATCCCAGTCCTCAGAGACTAGCCAGCTCTAGTAAACCCTTCTGCTGACCAGAGGGGCATGAGTGAGCCCAGTGTCCAACCCAGACAGACAGACCTACCCAGCAAGTGCGCAGACATATAGAGCGTAGTCAGTGATGATTAGCTTTAGAAATTGCATGGTAAGATTTTATCCTACAAGACCTTTTTTATGCTAGAGAACACAGTTGGATCTGAGTCTCAGAACCACTTGGTGGATCCATTACAGGATCTGTTCCCTGTTATTGCTGTGGTCGCTTTCAAGTCAATTGAAGACAAGAAGCCGTCTCAGGTATGTTTGGTAGAGGCACCTCTACAGGCAAGTGCTAAGACAACAGCACGTTCAAATAGCTGATATTTTACTGAGGTATAAAAAGTGAAGTTTACTTCAGCAAAAACAAAACAATGCCAAAAAGAAAAAAAAAGAAAGAAAAAAAAAGGAATCCTGCCTGGTTCCCCATCCTATTATATCAATCAACCAAATTCACTAAGACTTGAAGACTTCACTCGTAACTTATAAATAATTAGCTATGATTTAATAGTAAGAATAGCATTAGTGAATCACTGTTAGCGCCCTTGTTATTTAAGCTACAGTCGTACATAGGATTTCGTTCTCATTGTTGCTTTTCTGTAGATCAGCTGCTCTTTCATTGTCCTGTGCAAAGATAAAAATCTAGACACCTGCCAAACCTAAAAGAGGGAGAGGGAGAAATGAGAAGGGGAGGGAGCGAAGCTTTGTTCAATAAGACTGATCACTGGCCCACATGAAAAAGAATAGCAAATAAACAACCTGCCACAAATTGAGGTGTACATGCAGAGGTATAGACCTTTAACGCATATTCCAGTTGCCACGGCTACCATTTTGCAAAATGAAGTGGTGAAATTATCAAATGAAATCTTGGCTGCGTTTTTTCATGGGGGGGTGCGATGCATTCTTTTACAGATTGCTAGCCTTTCCCTCCACATTTGCGTGTGAGGTTTTCAGTTGTAATTGTGTATGGTTTTAGGGAACTGCTCATTCTCAGGTGTATTTTTACTGTCAAAGACAGGAGGTTTATTTTAAACCATTCTTTCTTTCGGATTTCCTTTGTCTTCTCCTTCTAAATGTCTAAGTCTGTTTGTGTATAGTCTATGGATTTATAACTAAATAGAAAATGATGTTTCTGCCACATGAGAAGCTTGGGAAATCAGGGTCTGCACCTTTAGGATGGACATAATCTATCATTGTATTAGCCAAGTTTTGGAACTGTAATATAAAATTTTAAGTTGTATCTAAAGCAGAAGATGGTAGAGTAAGTTCTTTTAGTGGTGGTCTCACCATCGCCCGAGGGGCTACTTACAACACAGATTGCTGGACCCATCCCTAGAGTATCTGATTCAGTGTTTTTGGGCTGGGGCTTAAGAATCTGCATCTAACAGAGCCCCAGGCTGAAGCCGATGCCAGTTTTAGGGCTCACACTGAGACCTACTGAGCCAGGGAGGGGTGGGGGATAGGGTCCAGGTCCTTGAGGCATATCAATAATGTGGAATTTGTGTTGAAAGTATAGAATTTAATAGGTGACATGCTATTTATTATGCAAGATCCCAGCAAGACACAGTGGTATAGTTAGACAGGCGAACTTTGGAGAGTCTAGTACAGTGACTATTAGCTAAGGCCAGGCAGGATGAGGGAAGCTGACATGAGAAAGAACAGGGTTGACAACGAAGGAGTTGACCCAGCATTAAGGCTTGGGGTGTGGGGTTAAGAAGGGATGCAGTAGGAAAGCCTGAGACAATTAGAGCCACAGGATAAACTGTCAGGATCCTTGGCCCTCAATGGATAACCTAGATCTTCCCAGCGTACAACCTGGGAGGAAAAGAGACTGAGTGTCACTCACCAACTGCACTTCAGTGTCAACCAAAAGATAGGTCCTCTTAAAACATGCAAGCCTGCAACTCTAACTCTAACCACCACTCCAAGATACACTCGGGATAATCATACAAATAGTTACATATTAAGAAAGTTCTTTGGGGGCTCGGGAGACAGCTCAGTTGGGAAAGCAGTGTAGATGTGGTTCCCTAGAAATCAGGCTTCTGGGGCTCAGAAAGGAAAACTAGTAGACGCAGACGAAAATGCAATGTGTGCATTTGCTCTGGCAAAGAAAGCAGGGATCCAGGATAGTGTAGCCTACTTTGCAACAGTTTCCTAGTGTGGCAGAGCAAATCACCACCAATTTAACTGCTTGAAATAAAACAGGCATGTGACCTCACAGTTCAGTGTATCAGGAATTCTAGTGTGCCCAGTTTACGTCCAATTGTTCTTACCAGAATGCAACAAATCTATCAGCCAGACTGCATTCTCGTAGAGAGGGTTGGCTTGAGAAATTTTGCCACCATGCTTTCAGTGTGCTAGCAGAATTCTCAATCTGTGACTATGGAACCAAGACCTCCAACTCCCCAAAGCGGCTCTTCTTCATCAACAGGTAGGTGCGTTTGCAGACCGTGCACAGAGCAGGCTCTAGCTTCTCTACAGGTGAGCAGGAGAGCAGAGGTGACATGGAAAGAGCCTGAAGCAACCTAAACTCTGGGGCATCATCTCATATTTGTCTGCTGTAGTTTTAAAACAAGTCATAGGTCCCCACACACATGGGAGAGAGAATTAGACAAGGACATGAGAAACACAGGTGAGGTCATATAAAGTTATCTTGGAGTAACAACATTGCTAAACAGAGTTGGGAATTAAAACTTTATCCAAAGCCAATCATGTGAAACCAATTAAAGGAGGTAGCCAATGGAGGTGGGGGGAGTAGAATTATTATTTCCTTATTCCAAGGCTTGTTCTAGGTCATACAGAATGAATGGAAAATGGTGAATGGGAAATGGAAGGGGGCTCATCTAGGGCTATAGCTCTTTAGGAACCACCATGTTCTGTAATCCCCTAAGGTCTCCTGTCCCACAGCGCTGTATTTCTCAGCAGATACAAGATGATGATCTGTCAAGTTTAATGGCATAGCGTCAGCATGAAGGATAGAGATGTAGCAGGAAGACTATTTCGGTTAGCAAATATTTGGACTCGGTCTAACATAAAATCTAAACCAAATTCTGAATTTAATCCCACCCCACTCCCCTTTACAACATTTATGCCTGTGGGATAGTTCCTTAGACAACGCCTCTCCTCAAATCATCTGGCGTGTGCTGCGTTCCCTCGCAGGTAGATGAACTTGAAGTTTACTTGCCCTCCTCTCACCCCTGGGCCTGTCTGGAGCCTAAGAGTGAGAGTACTGCAGTAGGTACAGGCTTTCTTGTATAATCAGCCTTGCAGTGCTATTCTGCTGTACCAGGATCGACAGTTGTGTTTTCAAGATGTTTGAAACCCAGGCTTTCAACCACTGCTAGCTTGAAATCAGATATGGTGAGCACATTTACATCACAGAGATGCTATAAATCAGCCCCTCCCTCCTCACACCCCACCCCCATGCCTACAAGCTTGTTACTAAACATTGCTCAGTTCATTGACGCTTTGACGCATTCGAGAGCATCAACCATAACCACTGCTCTAGGAAATACTTAGAGAATCACCCGAATATTTACATATAATAAAGTTCTTTGGGACTGGAGAGATGTCACTTTGGTAGAGCATTTGCTGGGCAAATATGAGAACCTGAGTTCCATACCCAGAATCCACGTATTAAAAGCTCAGGTATGATGGTGTTGCATACAGAAGGATTTTGTCTGGAGTGACACCCCAGTCTCACTCCCCTTCAGTCCTCCGTGACTGGAGCCAGCCTGTCAGAGGACATCATGCATTCTAAGCTATTCTCTGAGCCTAGAGACTGCCCAGCTGCCTGTGTCTTGGAGGAGGCTGGCAGTGGGCAACTGTGCCAATGTCTGGGGCCAAGCGCTGATTTCACTGGGGAAAAAAAAATCCCCAGTCAGCCACTGACGCGACCCACATTCTCCAATCAGCTACATTAGAAATCAAGGCAGATTGCATTCCTCTCCTCTAGCATGTACCAATTCATCCCAAATTTAAAAGGATGAGACAAGGGTGCAGTTTATCAGCCGCCTTTGAGTCCTAACACAACCCAGCAGGTGGTTTTGCTGTTGTTTTGTTTCCCTGGAATTGAAGTTGTTGAAGAGAACAGAGTGCACGGGGTACCGTGCTGCCTCTCACCTCTCTATCCACAACCCTCCGTGTGGATACTCATGCCCACTGATGACTCCACAGGGACTGCGGGTGGAGGGAGGAGGAACCGGGCGGAAGAAAAGGACTGCCGTGATCTCTCCTCTTCCTCTCATTTCCCTACGCATGTAGCTAGAGATGGGTCCCTCTCTCTGGCAGATTTGGCCCATGATCCCCATTCTTGTTTAATGGATAAATGTTATAGCATTTGGGGCTTAAATAATTTATAACCGTCAATGGAAAGGAACACAAGGTGAAGGGGTTCCGACTGAAGAAACCCTTTAGTAATGACAGGCTGGGGAGAGGGATGGCTATCAGCTCTTAATTACATTCTGTTTTCTTTTGGCTGACTCTGGCTTTCCCTTTACTTGCTCCTTGAACACATATTTAAAGTGGAAATATTGAAGTGGGGAGATCTCCTCCTACTTTTTCGGTGCTACTTTTTCTTGTCCTGCTGGAGGCCTGACAAACTCTCTCTTAGCTCTATTCCTCCTCCTCATCAATGGGCACCAATTAGACACCGTCTAGGTAGAGAAATAATTTGCCTAACTGCATAAGAAAATGGCCTGCATCAAACCCTTTAAGAATTTGGGTTCTCAATTATCCAGCCTCACCTCTCCTGTGAAGCGATAATTAGAGTCTAGATGGTATCGGGGATTACCAAGGGCATCTCTCCCAACAGCCGTTTAACACCTAATCAAGTGCTAAGGTCGTAAATTATGCATTTCTCAACAGCATTCAGACCCATTTGAAAACAATTTGAAACAGTTCAAGAGTTCCTAGATGGTGTTCACCGGGGCTACGGAGCGGCTTCAGTTTCTGGAGGCTTCGAAGGGGTCCTGCTCATAGAGGAATCGCCCACTTAGCAGACACTAAGCGGAAGGCTCTCGCAGCCCTCTAATTGGTTACTGGTCATTTTTCAAACGGACAGTGGAGCACTCCCCACACCACGCAAGGGAAAGAGGAGTGTTTCTCAGTGTCCACGCACCTCTCAAGGGGGGCTAGTAGGCAAAAGGACACTAGTGAGAATTTAAAACGTGGCAACAGTTACAAAGGAAAACCCTTTACAACCTTGTATTTGTGAAGACTTTCCCAAACCTGAATACAAAAATTAAAGTTCAGTAGTGAGAACTACAAACACAGTTTTCTCACCTCTGCCTCAGGGAGAGAAGAGTAATCTGAGAGGGTGGGATGTAGGGAGGAAAGATGCAACAAGAAGGCACACAGTAAATTAACTCACTCTTAGAGTGGTTAACTCTCCTGCCTTCCACCGTCAAACTCATATCTGTGACATCACCAGGAAGTCCGAAGCAGCAGTCATCATAGTCTTATGGTTTGCAATGGAATCTCCATCTGTTGGTCTATCCGTTCCTCCACCACCTTTCACTTCTCTGCACACGTATGGCCCTGGGCAGCATGCACTTCTGTGACAGCTCCTCTATCGCTCCCTTCCTTCCCTTCAGTACCAACAGCCCTGCTTCTCTCCACGCCTTTCTGAGAACCCACTTACAAGCTCACTCTTCCTCTTAGAGAGAGAAATAGTATAATTGGAAGCATACATTACACCATGTAATTGTACAAGATAAGGACGCACCCTCAGTCCAGCTCAACTCAATTAGAATATTTTTACTGCTTAATTTGATCTGAAGAGTCTCAAAGGAAAAACAAAGCCACGCTCTTACAGGAATAGGCAAAGCCCAACAAACATGCACGTGTTATCCCCCTGCCGCATGCATCTTGGTAATGGCCCACCTACCTCATCAACTGGACTTCCTTTGGTTAAAATGCCCTGACCTGTGACCTTCCAAAATCAATGACCTTCCTTATGCCAGTATTACCAGAAGAGGAAAAGAGAGGGAGAGAAAGGGAGAAGAGAGGAAAGTAGAAAGGAGGAGAGAGAAGACAACGTGTGCCGAGTGGTACTTAGAGTCATCCTAGTCCTGTGAGTTTCTTTTTAAAATAAGGAAAGACTTGGCTTTTGTATTATTAAAGTTTTACCCTCACTACATGTATGATGTGTGGGCACACACATGCCACTGTTCACACACGAAGGTCAGAAGCCAACTTGGAATTGGTTCTCTCCTTCCACCTTTACATGGATTCCAGGGGCCAAATTCAGGTTATCAGGCTTGCATGACCAGCCCAAGGCTTGTTTTTGTTTGTTTGTTTGTTTGTTTGTTTGTTTGTTTTTGTTTTTTTAGGATAAATTACTTAACATTTTCAAAGAAAAACCATTTGAAGTAGAATATAATAGGTAATGGAGCAGGCTTATGCAAATGAGACAAAAATCAGAAAGGAATCTTGAAGTTTAAGAAACTAACATCCATAGAGTAGTCAGACGATGGGATGGCAAACCCAGTCCCATGATACAAAGTAAAATCTTTCTGACTTTCTCATCTATGAAATGAGAAAAAAGCTATTACTCCACACCAGACTGTGGTTGGTCAAGTGAGTGAAGTAGAAGCCATGACACTAAATACATCAGAATTATATGACACATGAGGGTTACAATATGAGGGTGTGGCCAGTGTGGATCATCTATGTGTACACTACAATATTTTTACTCTATACCTGTATGAATGGTCAGATGAGAATAGTCAACAGGAGGCTGTAACAGGAGAGGCTGTCTAGAGTGACATCCACAGGTTCCCTGTGACAAGCTGCTGTCAGGCATGGCTGCCTCCTCTATTTTCCTTCCCCATCCTTTCCCTTCTCTCTATTGTCCAGTTATACTCTCCCTCCTTCCCTTCCTTTCTTCTGTCTGTCCTCTCTGTTTTAAGAGTAAAATCTTATACAAGTCGATGATGGGCCAATGACATCTAAAAACTTTCAAAGTACTTACCATTATATTTTAATTCAAAAGGCTTTCCATAAAAGTTTGGATTTCCAGTTTCTTTCCAAAATTGGAAGACCTGGCTTCATGGCCAGCATTGGTTGTCTCTAGGTAGAACTCTAGGTTGTCTCTGATTTGCCATAGTCACCACCCGTATTAGTGGTATTTTCTAGAGCAACAGAAACTGATAGTATATATTCTATTAGTATTATATATACTATATTATATATATATATATATATATATATAATATTTAGTATATTACATATAATATATTGTTATGTATTTATTACATATATTATATAATCATATACATATATGATTTATTAGAGTGGCTTACAGGCTTTAGTCCAGCTAGTCCAACAATAGCTATCCACCAACAGAAAGTTCAAGAATCCAGTAGTTGTTCAGTTCAGGAGGCTAGATGTCTCAGCTGGTCTTCAGTATATACTGGAATCCTGAAAAAGTAGCTGCTGGTGCTAGTAAAGGAATGAACTTGCTAGGGAGAGCTAGGACAAGCAGGCAAAGAAAGAGAGTTTCCTTCTTCCATGTCCTTTATATAGGCTGCCAGCAGAAGGTGTGGCCCAGATTAAAGATAGATCTTCCTATCTCAAAAGTTCCATCTTAAACATGGGACTTCCCAGTCGGAATAATCTAATTAAGAAAACTCCCTCAGCCATTTGAGTTTTAGTTAATTCCAGTGTAGTCAGGTCGACACTGAGAACAGCTTTCACACTTCTCCTCCACATTGGGCCCCATACTGAAAGCAAGGATAGGCTTTGTCTTCACTATATTTTATTTAAACAAAAAGTGCATGCCTCCCACTTGACCATGTTCTTTTGTTAACACTACGACAGGCTCCTCAGTGTTTCCACCAGCAGACCTGAAACTCTCACCACACACAGAGAAATACACTTCTAGTCAAGCTCTCTTCCTCCAAACACTAGCAGACCATGGAAAGGAAACAGGGAAAGGAAGGTGCATAGCCACCCCTGGTCCTCCAAGCCAGACTTCTGTTTGCCACTGTCCCTCATGGTAGACGTCACTGTTAGGGACTTGCTCAGGTGCTTCATCTGCCCACACAGTTAGCCCACGAGATAAATTGCTCTCTCCTGGAAGATAATAACTTATTAGGACCATTTTGCAGTTCCTGGACCTTTGGGGATGAAGCCCTGCTACACAAAGCCCTCCATTACCTCCACTACTAATTTCCGTATTATTATCCAGGATTACGCAGCCTTCTCAGAACTCTTGCCAGCCTCAGGCAGGTGCCACCTGCCCTCCACCTCTACCCCATGGTGACTCAGGTTAGAAGCATCTAGCCGAAGGACTCTTCAACCTCCCGCATCTTGGACTCTTCTAAAGCAAAATTTCACCCTTAACTTCCACTCGTTCATGCAGAGGACAGAAGCTATGGTCATAGAAAAATCCAGACATGGACAGGAGGCCCTTCTCAGGGACTCAGTTTCTGGATCATATTACTAATTGGGGGATATTTGCTCTTCAGTAACATGCAATCAAATGTATATGGTCTTTGTTCATCTATTAGTACCAATAACAAGAACAAAAGACAGTTTCAAAAGTATTCTAACACTGACTTTCTCACAGATATGTGTAACTTCTCTCTAATGTAAAGTAACTTTAGAGGTTGGCTGATTAGTTAAGAACACTTGTTGCTCTTGAAGAGGACCCAGGCTCTATTCCCAGCCCCACATGGCAGGTCACAACCATCTGTAATTACAGTTCCTGGTAAGTGAGTGGCCCCTTGTAATCTCTGAGGTCACCAGGCTTGCAAGCAACAAACATTCATACAGGCAAGACAATCATATATACAAAATAAATACATCTTTTTAAAAAATAATTCTGAACATATTTCACAAACTGCATTCTTGAAAGGCATTTATTGTTTTGGGAAAGCAAGATTGGAGGACCATATACCAAGGGATTTGAAGATGTCTTGAGAATTCACACTCAGACCCTGGGCAGATCCCTCAGATGTGGTAAAATTTGGAGATTCTTAATCACTCCTCACAGCTGTACAGATAAGGCTCACAAGCCAGCAGGAGCCTATTAGAAGCCTGTGGGCTCCTTTCTCACCTACAAAGCTGTAGTCTGAGCGGCCTTAAAGATGCGGAATGTTGGTACCCATCTAGCAAACAAGCTGCAAACCCAGGAAGGCAAGGAGAAACTGTATGAGAACAATTCTCTATTCTTTAAACCCAAGGTGATAGGAGGCCCTCGTGGACAGAGTTGGGCACTCCAGTATCCCATGGTGTTACTGCCAATTCCTTCCTATTCACAATATTATCAAATTTCCAAATCTGAGGCAGGAGTTGGGATACTTGAGTAGGTATCCATCTCATCTATAAACACTGCCAATTATACTGCAGGAGAATAACGCTCTGGGAAAGCTGTCTAGGTTAGAGACTTTAGTGTAGTATGAAGGCTGTGCATGCCCGCTCTTCCCCCTTAAGAGTGTATTCCTGTTCCTTGGTGAACTGCCGCAAGTTTCTTACTTTTCCTGATAGCACGGCAGATCAACTCCAAGGCTAGTGCTCTACCATGAGCCAGTCTCAGCTCTCTCTTCCAATTTTATAAATTTTGAGACATAGTCTCACTAAATGATCTTTAGATCACTGTAGACCATAGGCAAGCCTTGAGTTTGAAGTCCTCCGGCCTCAGCCTCCCAAGTGCCTGGGATTACAGGCCTAGCCTACCAACAACCTGTCTTCTACAATCTATTCTTGTGTGTGTGTGTGTCTGTGTGTGTCTGTGTGTGTTTGTGTGTGTGTGTCTGTGTGTGTCTGTGTGTGTCTGTGTGTGTGTTAGGAATCACAAAAGCCAGGGAGCTAAGGGGAATCCAAGGAAAGATCCTGATAATAACATATCTCTGCAAGAGCTGGCTCTCTACAGTCCAGCCCCACTGTGCGCAATGTGCATCCAAGGGGCCATACCTTGTCTTGGTTTAACTGCCAAGATGAACATACTTAAGCAATGTTGGTTCCTCCTCATTAATAATGATAGTCACCCAACAGCAAGGAAACATTCTTGCAACTGTCAATCAAAAACAAGTCTTCATGGTGACAGGGAGCTTGGGACAAAGAGTATGGGGGCTTAGTGGGTATTTCCTGGTTCCAACATGTTAGTTATGCTGTCCAACTGAGCCACAAAGAGGTGCCCACAAGGTGTGTCCTGATACTTGCTGATAGTTTCAGGGTGGCAAGAGGCCAGAGCCCCAGCCTAAGGTAAAAGCTCAAATTATACAGCCAAGTTTGGATTAATCAGGATTAAGCTCCATGGATGCCAACTCTGGAATCTTTGTTACAAATAAGCATCTTCATGCACACTTTAGAAACAAAAGAAAACACTCATTTTCTCAGATGGAGAGTCACCTGGCCTGATAGCTCCGGAAAACACATTTTAGCACAGTCATGAAACATAAGTCCAGTTGATGCCTAAAAGAAACTGAGGTGGGTCACTTGAGACTCCCAAGCCTGCCTCACGGGCACCTTCCTGCAGCTTGTGTGTCCTTCACAGGAGTTTCGTTTGCCCAGGAAAGTCTCTGCTTGTAGCCAGCTCTGATGCTGTCTTTACAGGAAGAGAAAATTAAGGCCATTTGACACATACTTGGGCCAAAAAGACACTTTTGTTCGAATTGTTTGCTTTATTTCTAGAAAAAGAAAAAAAAGGTTTTAGACTCTGCTAGAATAGAATTAAATTTGATGTATGTACCTCAAAATAAGTTTTTATCTGAATCCCTTTTCTCCTTTTTCCTATTTGCTGAGGGGTTAAATGTTGGCTGCGGTGAGAAACAAGAAAGGACTCGCCCTTGAGACAAAGATTCAAGGAGTGGATCACTCTGGGCTATCAAACAACTCAGAAAGGATGGGTCCCTGACACTAACGCCTGGACTCTTTCCTTTGGTTTACAGCTTACATGTATTGCCCACTACAGTATGCCAGATGGGTGGGAATCTAGGTGCCAAAGGGTTTTAAGAGCTTTAGAAATCCTGACTACCTGGGGATTTTAATGTATTTCCCTATGTCTTGGCAATTAACACAGAAATGAAGGCTTAGATAGCTGAACCTACTGGGATGAAAATCAGTCCAAAAGGGAAAGAAACTGAACTTTAGTTGGCCTATAGGGCAATTCTTGGGAGAAATGCTCTGAGCTAC